TTTGAACAGTACTAGAGTTATTATCAAATGCAGTCAAAGAGTTGCATTCGTCAGTGTCGCCAGGGTGTCTATATCGAGAGTTGGAATCTCTGATTATTACTCTTGGTTTGTCTGCACCTTATACGTGTTTGTGTTTATATCTAAAGTGACATACGGCAAGGACCACTTCATTTCACCCTTTGCTGATATAACCGAAATAAACCCGTCTGTAAAAAAATCAAGTCGGGACCAGACAATCAAGTGGTTGACATCATGAGCATCTGTCAAGATCACAGATAATCTTGTACATATTAATTATATGTTAGTACTTTAGATACATGTATTATAGTATTGTTACATTAATATATTAAGCTTAGCGGGTTGTTTTTAGATATTGTCAGGTAATACTATGGAAATAGGTTCAGGGAAGCGTGACTGGGTACGGCTGATAGCTGGGGAGTTAATTTGTGTAACAAAAGGGAGGTCAGGGATAGCTTGGACTTTGGGGTCAGTTTAAATAGCGGGGCAGGGTAATAATTTGTACAGTCAGCCAGAATCAGTATGTTCATTTCAGGCATGGACTTATATTGTGGGAGATTTCTACTCTGGTTGGCGTAAGTTTTTACATTTATTTGTTTCATGTAGAATTGTATTTTAGAGGATAGAATTTTGAGCTATGCATTGTTTTCAAATGTAATTATATACACATATAGATTGTAATAACGTAAAGCCACTGTAACAATAACAACAACATGATCAAAGAATAAACAGTTCCACTCAGTAAAATGTAAATCAGAGTTTTGGTGCATTGCTGTATGTATTGTAAGGTAGTGACACATACCTCAGTAACTACAGTTGCTTGTATTATATCGCAGTGTCCCGGAACTGGCCGGTTATCCTTATAGTCAAGTACGTAGGAGGAAAGAGGTATCTCCGATAGTACGTAGGAGGAAGGACGAACCTCCAACATTACGTAAGGAGAGACGTTCTCCGACACTACGTAAGGAGAGGAGTATCTCCGTTGCAGTGCACATCATAGGATGAACACAGCCGTGCCATCCAAGTGACACAGGCACCCTTAACTCCGTAGGGAAAACATCGCCTGGGTGTAAAGATCACCATTATATATTACGAGGAAGTATCCTCGTGTGAACTGATCAGTGACTTCAGACTTCTTGAGCTTTCTGTATACAAGTGATGTGACAGTGACAGCAGAGTGACTTTGATTTTTTTGGGTGTGTTTTTCTGTTGTTGTATATATGTACACCCACGAAGTTATTAATTTGTACTAGTTGTGTTATTTTTAGAACATTTGTATTAGTGCTGAGTTAGCATTGTTAGAAGTAGACTATTAGTATTAGATAGTAGTATCGTGATAGTTGTATTGTTAGTAGTACATATTTGTATTATTAGTAGTAGATATTTGTATTGTAAAAATAGATATTTGTATTGTTAGTAATACGATATTAGTATTAGTAGTAGATGTTAGTATTGTTGGTAGTAGGACATTTGTAATAGAAGTAGGATAGGGTAAGTTAAGCTAGTTAAGTAAATGGGGTATTAGTTTGCATTTAAATATTGATATTGGGCTTTAAAGTTAACTAAATGGAAGGAATAAATCTTTCTTAAAACTTAATTTGTGTTTGTGTTGTTGATTCAATACGTGACAGCATAGATCCACGCAATTGGGATGCGATGACGTGCATCAACCAAGTCAGCCAACCTGATCACCCGGTCCCGTTAGCCGCCTCTTACGACAAGCATAGTCAACTTTTGTGGCAAAGATGGGTTGCTGATCTATATCAACCCGGATCTTAACGGATCCAAAGCTTGTGAGTAGATGCTTAGACTAAAACATAACCTAGCGGTATATTCGTTATATGCTGACGATGATAATGCATTTAGTGATGAAATACTGTATGCATCCCCAAATATACTCTTAACCGTAACTCGATACAACCTGCCGCCAAAGCTGGCAACGTTACCATGTATTGCTGAGGTCTTATTGCGTGAGATTGCATCGGGACCATTAATTTACAAAGATGATTTACATACGAGATTATAGCACATTCGGCGTCGTTGGTAATAAAAATGATACTTGTTGATACACTGCCTGGCGCTCGACAACAAGGCCTGGTCGGCTCAGAGTCAGTATACTGTGTCTGATTTTGGTATTCATGTTAAACTGAGGCGTGGTATCTCAGTGGGCCAGCAATATAACATCGTCATTAGTCCGGACTAGTATTTCAATTTGGGAATCAACACGGAAAAATCGTTATACAGAAAGTTAGGCAGTTGTGTTGTGCGAACTTGTTTATAATTATACTTGATAATATCTTAGTATCTATTCACTCATTTCAAAAGTTAACACTGAGGTTTCATAGTATAGTGAACCAGCACAAACTACTGGTGTTCATGCAAAAATGATCTACTATCTCTTTGTTGAATGCTACACAATTATATTTTTGAAAAAGTGTCTGAGAGTAATATTTGTTTTGAAAACACATATTCATTAATGTGGCAACTGCTGATGTTCATTTAACGTTCAACCTACGCTATACGAGATCTTGACCGAAAATGGCAAATATACAAAGTTTGAATAATATCCAAACAATATATACAGAAATAATGGATTGAAATTGTTTGGGTTATGCCAAGCGCTTTGCTTACTTATCGTGTTTGTGGTTACAAAATAACAAAATTCTTAACAGATGGCAACAGATACTATTTTGCTAACCATATTTCACATTCGTGTTCTCTCATTTCAAATGATGTCTGAACTATTTGAACAAGACAGAGTAATGTCCCCTAGCGAAGGACAACATAATGAAAGAAGCACTCTCATCACTTTTGACCTTGGCCTTAGATCGTTGGTGTAACTTCTTCAGTATATTCTTGATCTTCGGCCCTTATGTGTTAAAAACTAATCAATCTGACTCCCCTGGGTTACACATATTGAATACAAAGTTTTAAAGCTAGGATGGTTTTCATGAAGAATATAATGCAAAAACAAAGGCAGCAAACGGATGATTCAGGAACGGACCAATTCATTGAAACTATTAAAGAAATCCGTTTTCACGAAATTGTTTATTGATAACATGTACACGCGAAAACAATTTCATAACATCTGTGTACACTCGAAACCCCACACTGCACTCCAACCACCCCCATCAAACGTTGCCAACCTCTCTCCCTATAACCACAACAACACAACTCACCCGACATCCCGCACCCCGCACCTTTCACATCACACCCACACTCACTTGCAGCCCACAAACACTTATGCCAAAACCTGACGCAGGATCTCATCTCTTCCTGCAGTGGTTAGTGTGAATAGTTACACTGAGGGTTGATCTTGCATAGAATATCGACAACGTCAGCCTTTAGTCATCGTATGCAATGACATGTTAATCCCGTAATTCAACTAGGTTATATCTGACATAATAACTGATGTGGGTGTCGGTGTCGGTGTCGGTGCTGCTGTTGGTTTCCGCATGAACGAATATTCCTACCTTCATTTCCACATGAGTCTAATTTCTTACTTTGGAATCACGGAGGAAACTGCACACTTATTTACAAAAAATGTTAACTTTTAATACAAATATAATAAAATCGCAGGTTATGATACAACCATGCATTTCTGTAAAGTTGTATGCAAATCTTTTGTACAATCGCTGCCTCCATATTTCTTGAGGAAGGTTGACCATTATCACTCACTCACTCACTTATTAAATATATATATATATATAGAGAGAGAGGTAGAGAGATAGATAGATACAAATTCATATACAAGGAGTAGAAAGGAACAATATATATATTGACAATGTTCCTTTATACTCCTTGTATTTCACGTTAAACCAAATACGAAAAATACATTGACCAATTTGTATTTTTCCTTCAATTACTGATATTAAAGTCCCTTGGTACAAAATTATCACGGCCAAATACATAAACACGATGTGTCACTTTAATTGTGATGTTATAGTCACGAATCAACCATCTCAACAGGCTGATGTAATTATTTTCCAAACAATATATTCTCAAAACATATTTCTTGAATCAAAATTATTCCATGTGGTTTTATTCACAAATGTCATTTTATTCAGTCTAATAACCATCTTATAACAACTCATATTGACATTCCCGGGTAAGAATAGAAAAAGTTAGTCTATCAATGTTCCTTCTGGTCCAGATATAATTATTGCGATCAATATACGACATATTACATTTCATTGCATGTGCCCTTGTGGTTTGGAAAAAGTGTTAAATGTATTATTATATTTTGTATTCAGTCACCTTCATATAATGATGATTTAAGTGTGATTGATAACTGAGTGTCTTGAAGGGAATATCGTTATTACTTGTTTTGTACTCTGGACATGTAATTTGTCCCACGAATGGCAATGTACGTGCGCTACAGCGATACAACCAATGATTCAAAGACTACATGTAAGATTATGATTATAGGAAGCATTGTATGAAGTTGTTTTTATGTATTATTTTATGTTATAGTTTACCCATATTTCTAAATGTTTTTTAACACATATCATATCAAGATTAGAGATGCAGGAAGTTATATTTTATAGGCGCGGCAGATCATAACTCAAAACAACAAAGTCTTATTTATATACACGATGATGTCATTTACTACATGATCATTATGAAAGCCTTCTTTCAGAAAGAAGACATGTTCGAGTCATGCTGTTGTTCCTGAGTAGTGAGTATCTACTACAATTCATAATCACCATCGTCCTCTCCGGTCTAGTGGTAGAGCATCTGCCTGTAGAGTGCAAGGTCAGGGGTTCGATCGCCGGCCGCGTCACACCAAAAGACGTTGAAAGATGGCACTTGTTGTTACCATGTCTGGCGCTCGGCATTATGGTGCTAAAACAAGGACGGGTCGGTTCAGAGTCAGTATACACTGTCTGACTGGGGTATTCATGTTTAAACTGCGATATCTCAGTGGGCTAACTATGAAATCGGCATCAGTCAGGACTAGTACAAGCAACCACGCACGTGGATGCATGCGACGTCAAACCCCATTTCACCTCATCTCACAATCACCATCATTGTCATCATCACGACAGCGCCTTGACAACCATTGTCACCATAACGACATAGTTTTGACAATCACTGTCACCATCACGACAGCGCCTTAACAATCATGGCTTTCTTCTCCTCTGTCATGTTGATGTCGCTGCCCACTACAAGTGTCATGCTGACAGTGGCATCATTGGGGTTACACATTCCGAACATCGGCCACAGTGGCTGACTAGAGTCTACATTGTCTAACGTCGAAATCACTTTGTTCTCCTTCACGTCAATGAAAACAATCTTCTTCCTGGCGTCATCATAGACAACACCGTAATGCAGTGTGTATGATGCCCCTGCTGTGTTGGGGAGGGTGTCAGACGAACACAGCACACACTTTTCCTCCTTCCAGGTGTACCTGCCTAACCAGCCGTATTTAATAGAGAAGGAGGCTTTCATACAGTAGGAGTGGTTACATGTTGCTATACTATGACGCACGTCCCTCTGCTCCTCCCTACAGACACCAACCTCCATGAGGTGCCACTGCTCTGTGAGTGGTTTGTCCAGACTGACCCTGGACTTCATCTCCCAGTACTGGGGACAGCCAGCCCGGGGGAGGGGGGCAGTGCTACATGTGCCCCAGTAGTTCGTCTGTCTCCCCTCCCCTGCATATCTGGTTTTCGACTCCCTGTTGACCAGGTTTCCTTCTGTGTTGACGTGGACCCAGTCGAGATTGACTCTGTCTTTGTCATACCTTAGATTTGTACCTACAAAATATGAATGCAGATAACATGTGAATAAAACATGAGATAGATAGTTAGAGGTAGGTTATCTAATTACATTTAAATACTAGGATTTCACTGCTTAGTACAATATACTGATATATAAATAATAAAGTAATATAATAATAAAATATATAATCACAGCGCAGAAGTAAGAACAAGGAATATATACATTGTAGTACGTTTGGATGTATGATTTATGTTTATATTGGATCAACTAATAATCCTTCAACTCTAACTGGGAATTAGTTAGTAACAGGTCTAGTATGGCTCATCAAATGATTCACAGCCTCAGACACAGGACATGACCATCATTTGCGACTTAGAAATTGTTAAAATGTAAAACAATGCTAAGATCGATTTGAACACGATCGGCTATTTCCGTGGGGTGGCTCATAGCCATTATAAACCCGGAATATAACGGACCTCGTGACCGTCACGTGATGCAAACATCGTAACGTGCAGACATCAGAAATGAATGGCTTCTGAGAGGTAAGAAAATGCATCTTATGTGGCAAATGTGCATCCGCGATCGTGTTGAGGCGGAATCGTGTTTTCTGTTGAGGCAGAAATAGCCTAGACTCACAGCCGGGCCTTCTTTGCGATTACAGAAAGAGATGGAAGAGCCCGAAGTTAACAGAAAGTGTTGTGTCATACATTGCAGGACGCACGTGGGTTGACGATGGGAGATACGTAGCATTATCGGTACAGGACACAAACAAAAAATAACCCAATAAACAATAAGCCACATTATGTGTAAAAAAATCATGTTTTGAAATAAACTAAGCGGCAAAAGAAAGTATAGGTTGGCAATTTGTAATTTTCCTAAAAACAGCGATAACTAGTGGAAAGTGGGGATTGGGAATATGACTGCCCAGGAACAGGTACCCAAAAACACCTCCCTCGAACGCGCCACCTTTGACGGCGCCCGTGCGGTAACAGAAAATTGTGAAACAGGTTTCCCGCCTATGGTATAAACTGCACGTGCATATAAGCTGTATAAATGCGTTCGTCTGCAGGGTATAACCACACGTGATGAAAGCACACAAAAGAAATGCCACGACTGTCACAGGAGCAGAGAGAGAGAGAGAGAGAAAGAGAGAGAGAGAGAGCGATCGGTAACACAGGTCCAAATTGCATTCACAAAAAAACAAGAAGAGGTTTTGTTGTGAATTATGTTAAACTACCGGGCAAAAGAAAATTTTCACTTTAAAAATAGTTGTATAAAAAGCAAAAACGCTGGTACAGGTTTGATCTCCCGCTGAAAACATTCGCCCAAATGCATCATGACCACAACCACAATGCAGATTTTCGAACGCAGCTTTCCAAATCATACTTTGTTGAAAACGTGCAAAACGTTATTTTGAGACATTGGTCCAAATGCACGTGCGTGATTGTGGCATAAATACCGACGTTGGACAGAGCAGGCATTCAGTAAGCAAAAAACCACCAAGAATATGCCCAGACCTATACAAGCACAACGAGACAGAGCGATCGGTATGGTCAATATGGGGGCTACTCAACGTCAGATAGCCAGAACCTTCAACTGCTCCCAGACCACCATCAGCAAGTTGATAATCCGCTACCAACAGACAGGACAGACTCAAGACCGGCCAAGATCGGGAAGACCGAGAGTGACAACACCGGCCGAAGACCGATACATCCGGCAGATTCACCTCCGAAACAGATGTGTGGCGGCGACGTCGACGGCGGCAACAGCACTAGGGCATGCCATCAGCAGACGAACAGTCCTTCGACGACTTCGTACGGCTGGTATACGAGCCTACCGACACTTCCTTGGAATGGCCTTGACCCGTCTACACCGTCAACGCAGACTGCAATGGGCACGAACTGTACGTCAGTGGCAGCGACGTGACCGGGCGAGAGTGCTCTTTACAGATGAAAGTCGGTTCTGTCTGTTCAGGAACGATGGCAGAGTTCGAATTTTTCGACGAAGGGGAGACCGACTGGCGCCAAACTGCATGAGAGAAGTTCACCCGTTTGGAGTTTGAGGCGTCATGTTATTGGGTGGCATTTGTGGCCAGATTACAACACGGCTGGTTATCATCCGAGAAAACCTGAATTCTCAGCGATACAGGGATGAAGTGTTAAGACCTGTTGCGGTGCCCTTTATTCAACATCAGCCAAGAGGATCAATTTTGCAACAAGACAACGCAAGGCCTCACACCACCCGAACTGCTCAAGACTACCTGACCGTTAACGTCAACAAATTGCCCTGGCCATCTTTTTTCTCTAGACATGAACCCCATTGAACATCTCTAGGATCATCTTGTTCGTCAGCTGAGACAACATGTACCGCCTCCAGCGAACCGACAGGAACTTGAACAGACTCCATTGAACTTATTGAACAGGATTCCTGTTGACGTTATCCGCCGACTGACGACGTCAATGAGGAGGCGTTTGTTGGCGTGCATGGATGCCCAGGGTGGTCACACTCGCTATTGATGACGTTTTACCTGACTACTGTGTCATTAATGGACTCTTCATACACTTTTTCAATGAACTCTGATTTGTGTAATTTTTAATTTGGACCCTTTGACTGTTTCTTTGTGTATTGCGGAGAATGCAATATCGGCATTTCATTGCATTTTCATTTTAATTCATGGAAAATTTCTGTTTATAAATTAATCATCATAAATCTCACACATGCCTTTGTTTTAGGTGTTTGGTCAAGTGAAGTCAGTGAAAACTTTCTTTTGCCCGGTAGTTTATAATCTAGGGAAGGGTAACAAATTATTGATCAACCACAGTTTGAATGAAATTGTGCAATCACAGGTAATGTATGTTCAAGGTAAACAATTGTGGGGTAAGAAATTTCATTTTCAAAAGTTGTCTGAAATGTCACCAAACAATTGTCAGACACATTACAAGTTCATTGTCGACACAGTTGCCTTAAATAGTGTGTATGACGTCCACCTGCCTCAATGCATGCTGTGATGCGCCGCCTCATCGATGACGTCAGTCTTCTGATGACGTGGACTGGAATCCGTTGCCACTCGTCTCTCAGGGCCTGCTGCAATTCTTGTCTGTTGACGGGAGGCTGATGGCGTGCTCTAATCTGTCTGTCAAGATGGTCCCACAAATGGATTCATATCGGGTGAGTGGGCAGGCCAGGCCAAAACGTCAACGTTCTGCTGGTTTAGAAAGTTCCGAGTTAGTATTGCAGTATGGGGCCTGTTGAAACAATGTCCCCTGCTGTTGGTTTTGTAAGAACGGAGGCACAACTGGCTGCAACACTTGGCCTCTGTACTGCACAGCGTTCAGGTTTCCCTGTATAATCACCAAATCAGTCTTCTGATCTCCACAAATACCGCCCCACACCATGACACCTCCCCCGCCGAATGGATCGACCTCTCGAATACACGCCGGAGCCAAACGTTTCCCTCTGCGTCGATAAGCTCGCTCTCTGCCGTCATTTCGAAACAAGTTAAACCGACGTTCATCAGAAAACAGCACTCAACGCCAATTTCTCACTTGCCAGCGTCGAACCTGCCTCGCCTATAGCACTCTCGTGCGTCGATGTTGAGCAGTCAGTACCATTCCTCTGAAAGGACGATACACTCGGATTCCAGCAGCACGAAGTCGTCGTGGCTAATGGGATGTCCCAACGCTGTTGCTGCCGTCGCCGTTACGAATCTGTTTCGCAGGTGAATGAGCCGTATCTGACCGTCTTCCAATGGTGTTGTCACTCGGGGTCGTCCGGTTCTAGGCCTGTCCTGTGTCCCCCGTGTCTGCCTGTACCGTTGAATCAGCCTGGCTGCTGTCAATGGTGTACAACCAAACCTTCTGGCAATTTGGACCTGTTTTGCCCCCATTTAGTCCATACCGATGGCTCTCTCTCTCTCTCTCTCTGCTCCTGTGACAGTCGAGGCATTTCTTTTGTATCCTTTCATCTCGTGTGGCTATACCCTGCAGTCGAACGCATTGATACAGCTTACATGCACGTGCAGTTTATGCCATAGGCGGGAAACCTGTTTCACCATTTTTTGTCACCGCACGAGCGCCGACAAAGGTGGCGCGTTCGGATGGGGTGTGTTTTGGTACCTGTTTCTGGGCAGTCATATTCCACACTTTCCACATCTTATCGCTGTTTTTAGGAAAATTATAAATTGCCAACCTATACTTTCTTTTGCCGCTTAGTTTATTTGTTATGGTCTAATTAAACAGTGATCGTTGTCAAGGTAATTGATTTTTAATACTTTTTATTGTCATCTATATTTACAAGTAGCTGATAATAATAAATCTGTGAAACTATTACCACGTTTTCATTATTACTTTATCCTTGTTTAATGACACTCTGCTCTCTGGATCACAGCTCCCTGACAACTACTACGGCCACTAAATATTCGAAAAGAAATCAGTGATTGATCTCAAGAGTAACGATCCACTTCTATAGGCTATAGTCGACTCGTAGGAGAACCCTAGCCTCTTTCGGCTTAAAAGAAAATCTCATCCTCAGTAAAAAGTATTGGCCGCAATATGGCCATCCTCATTAATACAGAGTATTTCTTGAGCAAAGCCATACTCTTTCACATCACAGGGCTACAGATGCCACGTTGACTGGACTACAGATATCGCCTGGACAGGGCTAATGATATCGCATTAACCTTGACCTTAACGCAACAACGTGACGTTTATTCTCTTCGTTAGTGGCAGACACAAAATCTTCCATCTTGTGACAAGCATGGGACACTCACATGTGGCCAGTGGTGAACCCTGCAATCGCTATGGGTGATTGAATTTTATAAACTGCCTTTGAATGTGCTCGTATGGTTTAACATTGTATTTTACTTGAACAAGATGTAATTAAATGTAATATTGTATTGGGGTGGAGGATACTAGTATATGAACTTACACTTCAGCATCATTGATCGGTCTACAACTTCTGACTTCAGCAGATGAAAACCGCACTCTCTGGCCACACCTGTAACATCAATATATACATCAGCATATACATGTGTGATGAGACAAACGTACGTTTCATGTTATATCAGTTTTATTAAAGTGGTACATGGTTTTAGTGTGGGAAAAATGCCAAAACAAACATTTGATGACTTTCAGGAACTTGCAATCGTGGTTTAGATGACTAGGAATTCCACGCAATTTCAACGTTTAGTCTTCACATTGAGTTTAGATCATGTGATTAAGGCAGGTCAATGGACACAGGTAATATGAATTTACCAAGCAATAAATCAATGGTTTTCGAGTCTCTCTTCGCGATGTCTTCTTTCTCATCAATGCTCTGTAAGTACAACATGTATATTATGTAACACAATATTTGCTTGTCAGTGTCTGTCTCACAAAGGTAAGACGCATGTTTATAAGCGTTCAACAATGTTATGATGAACAGCTACCATCCATGCCATGCCATGCCCAACATTCTGGGCCTAGATTTTCGAAACGATCTTAGCTAAGATAAATCTTAACAACTTACGTTTAAAGATAAGATATCTTAAGGTTAAGATAAGATAGATTTTCGAAACTATCGTAAACCTGTCGCAGATCGTTCAGAGTTACGATACTTATCGTAACTCTGACAAGGAACTCATTTGTGTTAGAGATTGAAAAAGCGGGGTGTTTCCCAATGACGTCACGGGGATTTCCCAGCTGCTGACAATAACAACAACATAGATAAGTGACACGGAATTCATGATCACATTGTCAGGTCACATTGTTTAACATGCACATATTTGAGTGAAATTCTGCACAATCCTACATATGTCCTACATGTAGACGTTTTGTTCTTATGATAAAAGATGCCATGACTACCGGAACACAAATAACATTCGTGTGCCATGCAATAGCATTTTCCAAAACCAATAAATGTTGTAATCAATAAGTGTAGTGTTACCGCACTTTAGCTACTAGAATTGAAATAACGTGCCAAAAGATACTTCACTATTTTCTCTTCAAATGGTCCTCTCGTGGGCGCGCAGAACTTTATGATATAAACACATCGCGTACAAAGTCAAGGACGAAAGTAATGGACGTTATTCTAAATGACAATGACGAGACCTTTGAACGAACAGCATATGCGTTCAGCATTTAACATGCGTGTTCAAGTCTGATGTAAGGTGATGTATAAGGTATATTTTTGTGTTTATGTCAAAAGTCAAGTTTATTTTAGTGTGAACACCAACATTAAACGTGGAAACACTCAAAACAAAAATTGTTCAGGAAGCAGCGCACCCACAAGCAAGTTTTTACGACAATCTAAGCTTGTTAAGTTTGTTTTGTTATTTATGTATCCAATATATTTCACGAATTAACCAAGGACTTAAATCTATATCAAGCTATTAGTATTTAGATGATGAAATTATTTCTTTTATCTATCAAGATCAATAATTCTTTTCAAAATTTAAAAGTGACGCTAATTTTCGTTCGCAAAGAGAGATAATTGCTGAGAATAATTTACTAGTATTTATCCGTTGACCCTATACGTTTACGATGGTATTGTCTGAATGGTCTCAAGTATATCTATATCTTATTTTAAACATAAAACGGCATGATGTAGACTTAAATATTAAAAAGACCAAACTATTTTAAAAGCGGCTTATTGAATGCAAAGATTATTGTGTTGAAAATGTGTAATTTATATAGATCAGTTAATTTCATTCAAAAAACATTTTTTCTACGAACATATATTGGGAAGTGAGTTTTGGACAATGTGCAAACTATGCTACATTTTGACGAGAACCCGAACGAGCATGGGAACCCATTTTTATTTGATTTGTCGATACGAAAATCGGTGCTTAACTTTAGCTGTCACAATTTCAGTATATTGTTATATTTAATGGAATACATCTATATGCCGTTAATCACCTGTTTTTAAAGAATGCAAATGTTCAACAGACAGTTTTTAACCACTTTTTATCAAATATTGTCTTTCAATAGGATATAGATGACATAGGTATTGAATTTAAAACGAAACAAATTACAATTACTTTTGCCAGAAAAATATTAGATATTGTATACAAATATTTGATCACATGTATTTCCTTGTTAAGTCAATAAATACTACACTGTATAGTTAAAATTCAATTATTAAAACCATCCCTCCCACACGATTTTAGATGTAAAAACTTATGCGAAACCTTTATGGTTTTTTTTACATATGTAGATTGATATAATTTTATAAAATGCAAAATAAAGACTAAAGCATTGACACAAATGCGATCCGGAAAATATAACAGCGGAACTCTGCGCTTTATGAAAACTGCAACATTGAGCAAGGTGTCCCGGGAGTACAGGGAAACCCCTCTCAACTAGAGTTTGAACTTAGATTAGCTCCCCCTGAGTTATCAATAAGGTCACGGTCATTACTGTAGCCTGCCGACACCTTCCGTTTTTATCCTTCCCAAATTATGGAAAAGGTATGTTGTTTCACACTTCTTCAGCATAGACTCAGATTGAAATATGTTGTAGGCTATCGACTCCACAGTTATGTGGATCGCTGTCGCGATTAAGAACATTTTTGACGTGAAATCCTTGATGCGTTCTTCCTGTTTTCGAAGTGTCAATTTGAATCACACAGTTTTACAAGATGAAATTTCAATGTTTGGACGTAAAGCAGACTAATTATTTGTCAAAATATCTATGGCAAAGTATGCCGCTATCTTGGATGAAGATAAAATAACCTGACGACAGGTAAGTGGCTATCTTAGATTTAACACAAACTTAAGATATCTTAGGGCTACGATAGTTTCGAATAAATGCTACGATAGCCTACGATTTCCTTACGATAAATTTACGATAATTTTAGGGCTACGATCGTTTCGAAAATGTAGGCCCTGGTTTCTAACTGATATTAAAATGAAGAAAAGTGAAACATTATGTTTACAATTTAGCAACTGCTATGAACTGCCTTAAATATTGTGATTTCATATTGTTATAAATTCTTTAAGAAAAAACACTGCGTTTAATATAAGGGTAGATGTGACATATCTACAGGTGTGAATAAAAGATAAAAGTGACAAAATCCGTTCCATAATAGACTAAACAACAAACCGATTTCAAGCTTTTGATTTCGACATTGAGCTTGTGGGTAAGTGATTTAAGGTTTTCTATTTTTTCCCCGTCTGAATCAATTTTCGTCTTCAGTTCGGCAAGGTCCTGCAAACATATGATAACCTTGCATATATATTCACATCATGTATGCATTTGTATACATACATCTGTACAATCAAAGGCAAACAACACGACACAACACGTTTTGGGGGTTGATGCACTAGTATATAAAACATGACTATGGATGCATTGCCTCCAGTTTGTTGGTAAATGTGCAAGCAAGCGTTCATGGGGTACCACCACTGACTATACTCACCATTTTGTGTTTCATTTCCAAGTCTGCCAAAAAGTCATCGTCAGTCTGAGTGTTCTTGTCTGAAACAGACGAATACTTCAGAAGATTAAAATGGCTAACACCGGGAACATGTTTTGTGCAGCCTACAAACATTAAAACTTTAGAAACAAATCATCATCCATCACAGAACAGACTGTATCTCAAAATATAGAATTATGTCAAGCAAGATATGTAAAATAATGCAGTATAAAACACACATAAAAACTTACACAAACTGTACAACTACAATGATTGAGTAACCTACACATATTTCCTATGTGAAGTGAATACCTTTAACAGATCCTTCATCCATTTCCCTTGTCAAAATGGCACCAAATCCTGATATATTTGATTTCAGTGTTGACAAGCTGTTGGTGTTGAAGACAGCTGTAGGTACGACATGTGTTTGAGGCGCAGCAGTGTCAAGGCGGTTCGATGAGCACGTAGAGTTGCCTTGGTCTCCTTTGTCTGACTTTCAAGATCAATCAGAAGTTCCTTCTCTCTTTGGTCAAGTTGTGATCTCAGAGATTGGAATGTGTGGCCAATACTTTCGTTCAAAGTGTTGTGGGTTCTGTCTGTGAATTCGCTTCCTTGCCTAATGCTCTGCATATGTGATTGCTGGCGATCCTCTAACTTTGAGAGCTCCCTCTTATGATGGTCCAGCTGTTTTGTTACAGTATCAGCAACCACATCCAGCTCCACAACTTCATGGTCTGCGTGGTCTTCAATCCTACATCTCGCACAGATCAACTTCTTGCAGCTTTTATCAAACAGATAAATGGGGTCGTATTTATGGATACCGCAAAATGTTGGAATGTTCGAGGTTGTCGGTTCCATGTCAGTGAAATTTTGAAGTAAATGGTTCCTGGTAAGTTTGAAGCTGCTGTGCATGTTCTGGCAGTATTCACAGAGGAACTCTTCACATTCCTGACACCAACACACAGCCTGGTTCCCGTCATCGTCATTTGTACAGAGGAGCTCTGTTGGGCGATGTTTGACTGTCAGGTGGAATATTTCCTTCTGTCTTACTGCATCCTTCTGGAGACGGATGTCTGTGAGGTTGACCTCCCTCTGGCATGTAGAGCATGATATCACACCACCAGCTGCAGATGCCACACACGTCTCACACACAGCGTGTAGACAGGGCAGTAAGTAGGGGGCTGGACCTTTCAGGGTAAACTGCTGCTGACAGACAGAACACTTCGGGAAGGTGTCCATTCTGAAAGACAGAAAACTTAAATGAAGGACTAAGAGGTGTATCCAATCAAGGTAGTGGCACGTATCAATTCACTGTGCTCTTATCTTTCGGGAAACATCTCAGTATGATAAAAAACATCCACACAAATACTCACAGTCAGCCTGTGTCATATTTGGCACCATGCCATCGTAACACGGCCTGTTCATTTTACAGCACAAAAGAGACACGAGTTACGTAAAAAGATCCAATGTATAGTAAAAGAAATATTACACAGCTTTCCGTGATTGTTAACATGAATAAAAATTAAACATTTGCAATATTTGAAATATCAAGGACCCGTAAATAGGTCTTCAGCAACCAAGGCGTGTTGTAGGAGGCGACTATTGGGACGGGGTGGTCAGGCTCGCTGACTGGGATAATGCATGTCATCGTAGTCCGGCTGCGTAGATCGATACTCATGATGTCAATCACTGAATTGTCTGGTCTAATTTTTGACAGACCACCGTCACATAGCTGGAATATTGCGATGCGGCGTTAAACATGAAACACATAAACAAAATATATTGCTCCTTGAAATAACCTCCCTGAGACCAAATTCACTAGCCTAATATCAACAAAATAATTTAGGATTTATATCACTGGCTAGAAAAAGGTTTGGCACTAACTTGTTGCAGCACACGACATGTACCTTCACATACACCATATACGCTTCATGCACTCAGACAAAAAAGAACCAGTTCCTTCACTCTGCATTCAGGATCACAAAGCGACCACAAATACCATCACAGTAACAACGTGTGCTTCCATTCAGAATATGCCATGGAAGTACAATCAATAGCAGTCTAGTGTTAAGAGGTACATGTCTGTGCACACCGCGCGTCAACGGTTATCCGACACGACCGGTGTTTATCTATACACAATATAACAATGGTTAAAGTAGGTCATGACTTGTATGAATATCGACTGGACTCGTTGTAAACCGAGGGTAGTAATGTGTGGCAGTCAGTTAACACGAATATCCCGTCAATACACTGTATGAATAGAGGTATAGATACCACCTTCAGCAGCCTGATAGTGTCTTTGCATATGCATTTAAGTTATGACACTGATTATCGAACAGTTATCTGTGTGTAGGGGGACAAAGTGTGAGACGAGACACAACACACCTACCTGGACAGGTAACTTCCTTCACTGTGACACACACGTCACTTCCGGGCGATAAAGCGGGAACGCTGTCTTATTACACATATGTCTGAACTGATAGAACTTTATGTTGGCAATTTTAATAACAATGTCTATTTCCTTTACGTACAACGAATGGCTCTGAAGTGACAATAAAAAATATATGTAGCATGATGTATATATGTCTGTTTCAATGTGTAACTTGGCAAGTTTATAATAAGCCTAAATATTTCAACATATAAAAATGGCATATTTCTCAACTGCTGATGGGTATCTTAGACATCGTATCTTTTAAACAAAATAAATTTGATATTTTGGAACAAATGTACAACATGTCAAGCACCGTAGGGGTCATGTTGTTGCAAATTCATTTCCCGAGTCTTCATTGAACCAGTTGTTTTGTTTACCCAGCAACAGATTACCTCTTAGACACTGTTGCAGGAATGAGGGATCGTTAAATAGACATAATCAAATATAGCAACAGCTCTTTCAATTTCCAATTACATTGTTAACAAAGTCGGTGTACTTTATTTTGCCTCTCAGTATATACAGGGAGGATGAAAGTTTGAGATTACGTAAATTGTTAGCAGTTAATTCCACCGAATGGCTTTCATGTCGGGGCATTGGTGGCCAAGTCGCCTCTGGTACCTCAATTTGCTGACGAATTTCAGAAACCCATGCTCGTGGATTCTAATCCAAGATTCTCCCTGATCATGTTTGTCAGCACCTCATACATGACAACTGCCTAATGCCTGTATCACTTGTCCGTTCCTCTCACACAAGCTGACATGTCGGTATATCACGGAAATACTTTTTAAAGGGGGCGTTAAACCCAATTCGCGCATTCACTCTTGTATGTCACTAAGGCACTAGACTTTATATTCATGTATAAGTCAAGCAGCTATTCATGTTACATCGTCAAACAGCAGTATACAGGTAAATGCTACATGTTATGTTTTTATAGAAAGGAGGTGAAGATACTTGGATTTATATTTTTTTTCAAATTTTGGTTACATAATTTCAGTGAGTACATGCCCGCTGTTTAGAACTGATTACTTTGGTAATTCGCTTACTAGCGTTGTTTACTGCGTAGTGCATGTGAAGACATTGATTAAATTTATCATCACAAGTCACATACTGTACTTGACATGGCCCAAGTCAGACTTGAACAGTGAAACCCTGTTAGTCCGGATACTACGCTTACTGAACCATTTAGGACTTTCAAGTATTCAAATAAGTGGTATCTCTACTCTACAGTGGGACTACATGACATTTTATAACACAGAAGTTTTATCTCTATTCTACAAAGACGACAACAGCGCTTTGAAAACGGTGCTTTCTTGGAACCACTAATTACACATGGCACAAAGGTCTGCTAACTTAGAACATGCCGAAAAGAGGTCACAAGTAGTTATAACTATAACAACAAGTATTAATAAATTTTATGTTTTAGGCTTTCAAACAGTTTTTCAAAAGAAATTGACGAATAACCTCCAAAGGCCAAAGATATGTTTTGAATTTCATCGCAACATGTTGAATATTTGCACTGTTTGGAATCACCAGTTCATTTTTTGAAAACTGAGGTCACACGTATTGTCTTGGAAATCAGTCTCATTGAAGGAGTGACAGATTGTAGAAATAGTGAAAAGCATTCTGAATTGATATGTTTTTCAAACAGACTTTTAATTTTTTCAACAAACTATCAATTAACATTTTGTTATTATTTTTAAAATGTGTAAGCCTTCTTAGTTACAGTCAATTTTGCTCCAAATGAGAACGATGAATCGCTAAATAACTCAAAATCGGGAATAGTCTTTTAACTGTCAATACTGTACTCGGCAATTAATACCCTGTGTCCAACAAAATTTGCTGTTTGTCATTTGTACACCCCAAAAAATGTCCGTCGACAGGATTTGAGCAATCAGGCGAAGCGTGTGGGGAACACCATGTAAGGTTGGTAAATTAGACAGTGTTTAGAAAGAATTAAGTCAGATCTGCAATTGTTAAAGTGCATTCCGAAAATAAGTTCATGTCCCCAAGACTCTTGAAGAAATACTTTGAAACTGACGATGATTTAATTGTTACAAAACACAAGCTATGGTAACTTGTGCATACATTTGAGAGTGCTTTCTTGATAATGTTAAAGACTGTGGTTAATCATTGAAACAGGGATTTGGTGGAACATTTGGTGGAACTTGCAATGTATCTCACTCTGTGTAAATGTTATATGGAGCTTTGGAATACGGTACAAAATAGAAATGGACTGGTTGTTGGCACTGATTCGTAGTTTGGGCAGATTTCTTCATGCTGTAACTCCTCTCCTTCATCAACACACATCAATAAGCACTTTCATTGTACAGACTCCAGTATTATTCACTGCTAGAACCTGGCTTCACGTTCCATGGGCTTTACACGTATATAATCACATGATTCATATATATTTAAGAATTCTGTGTATTTAAGATATATAATATTTTAGTTTTGCGTAATACATTAATTACTACAAAATCCATTTATCAATATTAATGCATCAAAGTCCATTGACAGGCAAATTGAAAAGATTGAATACGATTTTATTGCTATCATGTCTATCTGAATAAATACTTTGGATTGAAATCTTCTGATATTTAGTGCAAACATTGTGAATTCTATGAAAAAGATTCATGCCACTTGTCAGCTCGACCTACTGATATCAATTTCATCAGATCAGGTCAATCTTGCCGACGCCTACTATTGATAGTTGTACACATTGTATAACCGAAGTCTGACTGTGAACTACTTATTTAGATGAAGAGCGTCAGTGGTACATATTTTATAGCGATGTACATTTTGTATGCATCAAGCTTCTCATTTCCATGTTCACTAAAGTACACATTACTATATTGAAGATATTGATATAAAGTAATGCTAAATGTGCACCCAAATGGATCATAATTCACATCCTGAGTGAACCAGAGAATCCGTTTACGTAGATTTTCCGTGAGAAGCATTACACCACCAAAAGACCAAATTTACTGCACGTATGTCTAAAAACAAACAGTAAAGGAACTACCAACAACACTTTCATTGTTCTCAACTGCAAAAACTGGCCCCTAGAATCCATGTAGGTGAGGAGTTTGTTGTGTGCTGGTCGCCTTATTGAATCAAGTGGACAGATGTCATATTCAAAATGCCCCACCCACCCTTTCATAGACTTCCCCTTTTCCCACCCAAGAAAATTTCAAACAAATATTCATACATTATATCACACTTAGGTTGATGTGATGAATAAGTTGTTCATATTGACGATAGTTGAAACATTTCGGTTTTGAACTTGTTTTACTCTTATTTGAATGAGGGAAGAATATCCCTACCTTACTGAACCACACGAAGCATGTCCCAACCTTCTCGGAGAACTGAATTACTGGGGTAAAGCTGAACCAGAAAGTGTAATTCTGCCACAGTGTATCTCTGGACGACAAGTAAACACCACCAGCAACAACCGCACAATGTAATTTGTTTTGGCATATTTTTCTATGTACTACCTTACATTCTCATGGCCTGAGTGTATGGTCATGGTAATTCAGGTTCAAGTGTATTACGACTGTATGAATACTCACGACCTTAATACGACTATAACATTGTGTCCTACGCAATGCTGGATCAAAGGTTTTTGATTCACTCGTGTTGAATAACTCAACTGCTAGAATAGCGTATTATCAATGCAAGTATAGTATTTAGTTGTCAGGTTTAGTGACTACGTTAATAGCATGTCATCGTTCCCCGAATGGCGTGGACTGTTGCTCGATCAGGCCCATATTATTAACACGCCGTCGTCATGTAGCTGGGATAACAAACACCACACACAGAAATAAAATTTAATCAGGGACACTCTCACGTGTGGGCATGTACATCGCCATGGCAATAATTTTGAACTGGATGTTACACACTATTTCACCTAATTTAATAAAGTATAACACTGTTTTGTACCCATGACTGTAATCCAAACGGTTTACCACTTTCATTTGAAGAGAATACATAATTGTTAGAATGTATGTTGGAAATACTAGTCGTTATTACATTTTCAGCAATATCCAAGCATTGCGATGAAAGGAAAAGAATGTCTTTATTTGAATAAACTTCTGTCCATAGGTATTGCCTCGACTTGTCTGTTTGTCTGCTTTGTTTGACGCAATTTGAGTTTTCACGTTCATCTTTATAACAGAATATAGAGGTTAGAATCGTTTGCACGAATGCTTGAACAAACAGAACTAGCTTCTAATATTATTGCCTGTTATGAGTTATCTGGTCTTAAGTAAGCACTTATATATCTAAGTTCTTTTGATAACATGTATGTGAAACCGGACATTGTACCACTTGAGAGTGTTACGCAAGACAGGTGAACATCGCATATTGCACGCAATACACATTAATTCTCACATTTATGTTCCGAATGCAGTGCCATACGAACAGTCTGGTGACATTGTAATGGAACTTTTCTTACATTCTTACATTCTTATTTGATAAATAGATAGTGTGAAATGTTCGCTATTAATACATGTGATAGGAATTTCGATACCAGGCGCTAAAAATATATAAGGACACCTCGACCAAGCCCACGAAACAACAATATAAGTTATAGCAGGATCACGAGGGGTATGTCGGGTTTTATGCGTCCCGTGTTAGGTTTTATACCACGAGCCGGAGGCTTATCTCACCGACATGTTTTCATATGACATTGTAAACTAATTCAAATAAATTCCAGATTGATAGAAGACAGTTGCTCGATTGAGCTGAGGTTAGTTTGCGCTATGTCACGTGACATCCGTTGGCAAAAGCGTGATACGTTTTGCTTTGAAACGTGGTATAAAGGATGTATTCTGTCTCTCAGGAATATGTCAATTTAAACGTTTCAATAGGGTAATACCAGTCGGCCGAACAAGACGAAAGCAATACCTCATTTGTCGCATATGGACAATAAGCGCTACCAAATAGCTATAACGATGGGGTTTGATATAACAAA